AATCCACTGCAAATTCGAAGAATAAATTATCATAAATATCATAATAGTAAACAATGACTAAAAGGCTTATGTCTAAGGAGCTTTAAAGCATACTGTAACATTATTATTAATGTTTATTACAACCTTTTAAAATTGATAAGTTCTGACGTTTCCCCATTTTACAACTGCAAAGAAGAAATAGGTTTATGTGGGTTAGCAGCAGAGAGTGATAAACAAGAATTCTAAACTAATCATTATCAAATGAAATAATGTATATTAAGTGCTTCAAAAACCTTAAAGCACCATGAGCACCAGCTGTTATTATTATATATGTAATAACTGCCATTAGCAAAATTCTATAACAGTACACATCAAAATTGTTTCAAAAATTGATCTTAAACTAGATTTCAGTCTTGGAACAGGACAGATTGACTATTCTGTATGGTCTTACTGCTCTCTGGTGGTCAAAAACATTTATTTTAAACTCGGGATTTTGTTTGTAATTTTTCTGACCATGAAGCACCCTTCAATTCAGTTTCAACCCATTAAATTCAACAAACATTTATTATGCTCCAAGATCTTGTGTGAGTCAATGGGGATAAAAAGATGAAAAATTACATGGTGCTTGCCCCCTGGATTTCCTTGTCCCTAATGTTTTGACCCAAATCTGAGGCTATGAGGGTAAAGATATTCTTGGTGTAGAGACTGCTGAGTGAAGTGAGCAGAGCCAGAAGAACGTTGTACATAGTAACAGCCACTTTGTGCAATCACTAACTTGGATAGACTTAGCCCTTCTCAGCAATGCAAGAATCTAAGACATCTCCTAAAGTCTCAGGATGGAAAATGCTATCCATATCCAAAGAAAGAACTATGGAGTTTGAGTGCAGATCAAAGCATACCATTTGCTATTTTTTTCCTTCTGTTTGTTTTGTTTCCTCTTTCTTGTGGTTCCTCCTATTGGTTCTAATTCTTCTTTACAACATGACTAATGTGAAAATATGTTTAACAGGAATGTATATGTATAGCCTATGTCAGATTGCATGCCATCTTGGGAAAGGAGGAGAGGAGGGAAGGGGAGAAAAATTTAAAACTCAAAAGCTTATGGAAGTGATTGTTGATAAATGAAAATAAATTAATAAAAAAATTTTAAAAAGATATTCTTGGGAAAATTCAGTTTGGGTAGTTTCTGGAAACAGGACCATAATTTTTTGTACATTCATATGGAAGTGAAGCTTTATATGTTGTTAAAAGGTTGGCCATATATGGTTTAAATTACATCTTTTAAAATCCTTTCTCCATACTTCTCGCTGAATTGGGAGCCTGAAAATAGAACCTTCTGAGGCTGCCAATTTAACTGGTCAATAGCTGGGCCAAGAATTCCCTAAGAGCTATGGATTACAAGGAACCAGTCAAGTCTTTTCCCTATGGATCAATTTATAAATATTTATAAGGCAATGTATTAGATACTGTGGGGAGCACTTAGTAGGCAAGGACACCATAACCAGGAAAATTATTTTACTAAGACATAGCTCATCCATCATCCTCTGCGTGTGCTGACCCCCGCATGTCTCCCAAATGTAGGAAACTCCCAGTTTGTGGTGGTGGAGAACTACATTCATGCAGAATTTGGGTGTGAAGTTCAATTAGACAATTTTTAAGTCCTTCCAACCTGAGTTTCTGTGATTCTAAGAAGTATAAGGTCCCTGAAATGACTTACGATCTGCTTAGGAAGACAACATGTACTTAAAAAGATACTGAGGCATAGAAGGTAGTACATAAGTGGCTGAATGAGTGATACCACTTGAATGAGAGAGTGCCTTCCTTGCTAACAGTCATGTTTTGAAGTTCTTTATTCAGAGGTGAATAGGTTGAAAGCTGGTTTTTGTTTTTTCCCATAGAGAATACAACTATATCTCATCTCTATGGCCCTCAATGGTTCAGGGAACCAATGTCCTGCTGTATTCCCTTTGCTTCTCCCACCCCCTCTCCATGCACAAATGCCCATCTCTGCCCCCAAATGGTTTTGTTCAGATGAAAATATTCCTAGTTACTTATTTCTGTAATGCTAAAGCCTCACAAGACATTATGGAATAGGGGTGGCTGAGGTGATTCTAGAGTTTTGTTTACAGAAGTATCAGGGTTTTTAGCTAAAAATAAAATGTTCTTTAACAAAACAAAGTCGTAGGCTGTTAGAGTTGGGAAGGAAGCTATTCCAATGCCTGAACTATTACAATAGCCTCTGAATTGGTGTCCCTGCCTCAAATCTCTTCTCTTTCCAATCCATCCCCTACACAGCTGCCATATTGATATCCTAAATTATAGATCTCACCTTGTCACTCTCGCACTCAAGAAGTTTTGATAGCTCCCTATTGTCTCTAGAATAAAAGATGAATTCCTCATGTTCCTCAGGCTTTTAACACCCTTCACAATCTGTCTCCAACTTCTTTTTCCAAATTGATTCCATAATTAGTCCCCTTCATACACTCTATATTCTAGCCAAACTATTCTACTTGATGCCTCTCATGTACCACAGCTCATCTCCCACCTCCATGCCCTTGCTTGGGCTGTCCAACAGGCCTGTAATGCTCTCCCCTCCTCACTTCTGCTCCATAGAATCTCTAGCTTCTTCAAAAATGGCTTAGGGACCATTCCTTGTAGGTTACCTTTTGCAGTTCCTGTAGGTATCCGTGGTCTCTCCCAACCTTCTCCCAAATATTTTTTATTTACTTGGTATATGTTTTGGATATGTTATTCTCAGTCCATGTTTGCCCCAGGAGGATAGAGGCTCCTGGGAGAAGACAAGAACTGCTTTTTTATTTTGTCTTTGTATCCCTACATCCTAGCATAGTTCATAATAGAAAATGCTTACTAAATGCTTGTTGCATTGAATTGAATTTTACAAGTGAGGAATTGAGTCTCAGAGTGATGGAGTGTATTGCCCAAGATCCAATGACTAGTTAGTTAGTGGCCGAACCAGGCCTGGGACCCAGAATTCCTACCTAGCCCCGGGGCTAGTGCTCTTTCCATTATAACTCACTGCCAAGAATCCTGACTCAAATTATGTAAAACAAAATGGTCATCATGGTGCCTAAGAGACTCAAAGTACTTTTCATTTAATAATAGCACCTTATATTTGTGCAGCACTTTACAGTTTATAAAATATTGCCATATACCGTGAATTACTTCATTCTTCATAATAACCCTATAAATTAGGTGTTCTTATACCTTGAATTACTTCATTCCTCATAATAACTCTGTAGATTAGGTGTTCTTTTTCTCATTTTATGGATATATATATATACACTATATTTTATATATTGTTTATAAGTGTAAAATTATATATACATATACATATAATAATGTGGGGATTGGACAAGATCATTTCAGTTGTCCCTTTCCATTTAATAAAGCTTACAAATCACAGAACCAACATGAGAACCAAGATTTTCTGGCTCTGAATCCCATAATATTTCCACTAAACTATGCTTTGCTGTTGTTCAGTTGTTTCAGTTGTGTCCAACTCTTTGTGACCCTATTTGTAATTTTCTTGGCAAAGAAGATCCTGAAGTAGTTTGCCGTTTCCTTTTCATCTCATTTTACAGATAAGGAAACTGAGGCAAATAGGGTTAAGTGAGTTGCCCAGGGTCACATGGCTAGGAAGCGCCTGAGAATGGATTTGAACTCAGGTCTTCCTGATTTCAGGCCCAATGCTGCAAAACAGAATTCAGAAGACTAAATTACTAAGAAAGTAATTCCAAAGTCAAAATGGAAAGACACTGTTGCTGGAGCCAGAGGACCTAGTTTAAAAAATCCTGCTTCTGCCACCACGACTGTGATCTTGGGAAAGCCGTTTAATTTCTTTGGGTCTCATTTTCCTTCTCTAGAAAAAGAGGAGGCTGGCTAAGAGGGCCTCTGAATTTCCTTCAAGCTCCAGTTCCATGATCCCATGATCTGATGCTTCATATGCCTGTTATCACTGCTCCCCTCCAGGAGCTAGCCCTAGATCAAATGGGGAGATCACTGGCCCAAGGTCACTGAACTCCTTAGTGATAGAACCTGGTCTAAAAAGCCTGAGTGTCCTGACTCTTTTTAGTTCAATGCTCATTGTACTGCACAAGGCAAGTTCTTTTATCACTTATTCCAGGCTCGGCCTCTAGGGTGTGCTGTTTTCCTAGTAATGGGTCTGACTTCAGAAGACTTGGTAAAACATTGCTTTCTGCTCTGGGATAGAGACATAGTGGACTAGAGATGTAGATATTTTCAGTCACCAGCAATGAGTTGATTTGTTTGGCTTGACTACAATTATTTATTACAAGAGAGTTCCGTGATGGGTTGGGGAGGAGTCAGTGGGATGTGATTGTGATGTTTTTAAAAAAAGGACATTTATTACAAATTTGTACTATCACCTCTGTATTTCTGCCCCCAACACCAAAGCAGCTGCATTTATGACTCTTCGTATGAATTAAAGAGCAGCAGAAAACAACTATGGAAAAAGGAGACCATCAAGGCTTGATGCATTGCTGATTTTTTTTTTGAGATTTTAAAAATCCCCTATTTGAACATTTTACTCTTTTTTTTTTCCTTGAGCCTTAGGTCAGAGTCAGACCAAGACCCCTAAGCTTACTGGAGTTGGGAAAGGATAGGAAATATGTCAGGGGAAAACCTATCTCACTGACAGCCAGTCAGGGGGCCTTGATTTGGAAAATTCCCCCAGTGTAGCTAAAACTAATGTTAGCAAACATAGGTGTGTCTAGAGGCAATCTGATGTGAATCCCCTCCAGCTGTTGGATGAACTGGTTTTGTGGTAAACAAATTATATGAACCAAAGTTCACATCCTCCCCCTAATAACCCCATGAAAAGAAGCTGCACAGTACTCTTAGCCCTTCCTGGGATTTGGTTGTGATTCATATTAACTTGAGTTTTTAAAAACCAAATGTAAAAAATTCCTTTCTGGATTCCTCATGTTGACTAACATGTAGGGAAAGCTTACTCATTGTCAGTTCCTAAAGGTTCCCCGTACCTCCTTTCACTTGTCCATTTTTCCCTTCAGTATGGGACTCTGCTGAGATCACCAAGCCTATTCTGCTGATAAAATCAGAGATGTTTTTTCTCCCTGGGAAGATAGAGAATGAAGGAAGGGAAAGCAAGTAAGGCTAAGAGGGTGCATATGTAAATTTAGCTTGGAGATTGAAACTCACTTGCCCTCTCTCGTTTAGTTTGTATAGGCTTTAATTTGTCAAAAGAAGCTTGCCACCCACGGAATTCCCCTGCTCTAGTCTCTACAGTGTCTAGAAATGAAGTGTTCATGAAGTACTTTTTATATTAGCAGATATTCCTTTCGCATTTCACAAAGACCTGTGATTTTGTTTCAACTAATGTGAACCCAGGTCTTCTGACTCTAAGTCCGGTATGCTATCGACTACACCAAGACTGCCTCTCGTGTAAAGATAGCGACATACAAAAAGGATGGATAGACAGCTCCTGGAACTAAAATGCACATGGAAAATCACAGATTTAGGACTTGAGACTGCACAGGCCATCCACTTCTACCTATGATTGAATAGGAATCTCAGTTACAAACCTCCCCAAAGTGGTTATCCTCCCTTTACTTGAGAACCCCTAGTGAAAGAGAGCGCACTATATCCCAAACTAGCCCATTCAACTTGGTGTAATTTTCATTTTTTGAAAGCCTTCCCTTTCATCAAAGAAACCAGGAAATGAAAGGTACCTTTTTAGACATGGGTAGTGTGTTGATTTGTTTTATTTGACTTATGTTAATTTGGAGAAAGAGGGGAGTTGGTTAACCATAGCAGGGTGTTGTAAAGACCAAATGAAATAATGTATGCAAAGTGCTTTGTAACCTTAAAATGCTATATAAATGAGAGCTAATGTTCTCAGCAGTACAATGATCCAAGGCATCTCAAAGGACTCATGATGAAGCATATTATCTGCCTCCAGAGAAAGAACCGATACTGTCCAAATTCAGACCAAAGTATGCTATTTTCACTTTCTTTTTTTCTTTAATTTCTTTAAGTCTTCTTATACAAAATAACTAATATGGGAATGTTTTACATGTTTGCACATGTGTAACCAATATCAGATTACTTAGCATCTCAGGGAGGGGAAGCAGAGGGAAGGAGGGAGAAGTAGAATGTGGAGCTCAAAACTTAAAAAAATTTTTTTTTAATTGTTTTAACATGTAACTGGGGAAAAAATAAAATGTTATTTAAAAAGTAAAAATAAAAGTGAGCTGAATCTGCCTCTTTGCAACTTCAACCAGTCCATGCTGGTTCTGCCCTTTTGGGCCAAGCAGAAGTCATTAGATCTCTTCCACATGACAACTCTTTGAATACTTGGAGACAGTTATCATGTCTTCAGGCTAAACATCCATAATCCCTTCAAACAATCCTTATATGAGGTCATCCCAAGGCCCTCCACCATCTCGGTGCCCCTCTTATGGATACTCTCCAGCTCATTGCCTTTAGGATCAAATATAAACTTCTCTGTTTGGCCTTACATTCCTTCACAATCTGGTCTCAACTTATCTTTCCAACCCTATATATTATTACCCTTGCCATACTCTGCCCTCTAGTCACACTGGTCTACTTGCTGTTCTTCATTCCATTTCCCATCTATCTATGTGGCTTTGTGTCGGCTGTTCTTCCTGGAATGTGCTTTTTCCTCCCCTCTACCTCTTGGAATCCCCTATTTTCCTTGCTCAGCTCAAGTTGCATATGACCCTTTCTTGGTCTCCCCTAACTGCTTCCTCCCAAATTAACTTGTTTCGTGTGTGTGTATATGTATATGTATGCATGCATGCATATATATACATATACACGTGTGTGTATGTATCCCTACAATCTAGCCATATACCTGGCATGTAGAAAACAATTAATAAATGCTTATTAGTTAAGTGATTTTTGCCAATAAAGAAGTATGTTCCAATATGATTTCATCAAGCACTGCACAAAGCAGATACTTAACGTTTGTTAAATTGCATGTCTACATCCTACATTTCCTCCTCAAACTCCTAACCACTGGAGGAAGCAGACTTCTACCTACTGTTTCTTGTTGTATCTGTTGTCATTGTGTGTGGCTCCCCCTCAACCCATGTTTCTGAGCAGCTCCTGTTGCTTCTATCTTCACAGTTGGCTTGATAGCTAGCTAATGGTACCTTTTCCAAAAAGGTACTTTCCCCTTGTATGAACCAGCTTGGAATTAAAATTTTTTGTTGTTGTTGAGTTCTGCCTGACTCTTTGTGACCCAATTTCAGGATTTCCTTGGCAAAGATACTGGAGTGGTTTGCCATTTCCTCCTCTAGCTCATTTTACAGATGAGGAAACTGAGGCAAACAGAGTTAAGTGGCTTGCCCAGGGTCACACAGCTGGTAAGTGCTGGAGGCCATATTTGAACTTAGGAAGATGAGTTTTCCTGACTCCAGACCCAGCACTGTATCCACTGTGCCACCTAGCTGCCTTTCAAATATAATGACAAAAAGAAATTTTTTTGGAAATTGTTTTACCCAATCACAATAATGTAAATGAGAGAAAGACAGAGGACTTTGATCAATACAGTGACCAGTAGTGATTTCACAGGATTGACAGTGAAGAATGTCTCCTCTTTTCCTGTTATAAAAGTGTTGGACCGTAAGTATAAAATGAGGCATATGTCGTCAGACATAGGCAATGTGTTGATTTGTTTTGCTTGACTCTATTTTGTTAGAAAGGAGGGCTCTGTTGGAGAGGACAGAGAATTGTTAAATGACAGCAAATGAGTTTCTTAAAAAAAGACATAAGACACCTTCCTCTAAAATTGGAGAATATAATAACTTGTAAATTATATGGTAGAAAGAACAAAGGACTGGTGGTCAGGAGCTATGAATGAGCTAGATCACCTTAAGCAAGTCACTCAACCCCATCTGTAAATGTGAGAGTGAAGTGAGATCATATTACCCCAATAGCTCCTAAAATACTTACAGATCCACGAAAAGGGTAGCCTCCCTGGGTACATGATGAGTGACGTTGCTTCCAAAGGAGTAAGCTGACAGAATTCAAGAAGAGACTTTGCAAACTTTTACTTTAGGGATCAAATTTTAAACTCGTGATATTGTTTGCAAACAATGGTGAAAGATGAGGTGGAACCAATTGGAGCAGTAAGTCCCTGGTCCCCACACCCTGGCACACTGCTAGCTTGCGATGATGTTAATCTGGACTCAGATTGCTAAGACAAGTAGGTAATAAGGAACAATGTGTTTGCCATACCGTGAGGAGCAAGGGAAGGCCCCAGCTTGTCGTCTAAGTGAATCAGCAGGCAACACCTACTTGCAGAACTCTTGATTTATGACCTCTGGAGGTAAGTTTTAGGCTAACTCTACAGACAGAATTTTGGGAGGAGTCGGACAGGATTGAACTCGTTCACTGAAACATCTTGGGGAATTTTTGTTGGCTCCAAGGGAAAGTAATCATCGTTCTATACTATGGTCTGTACCAAGTTCACAGAATCATGAAATAGGGCTCTAAGGCATCCAAGAGAACGTCCTGTCCAAACACTTCATTTTGCAGATGAGGAAACTGAGGCCCAAGACTTGCCCAAGATCACATAGGTAGTGAATAACAGAGTTTGGATTCAAACCCAGGACCTCAAACTAAAAATCGAGCATTCTTTGCTAGACCATGACACCGCCGTCCCTGAAATTCCCCAGCAGCCCGGCTTGCTCATTTCTGTTACTCATTCTCCATGACAAAGAAAATAGAGAATCCACCAGTTTTCTCATGTCCCACCCAATCCACCAACAGGATGATATTTTGCTGCTGCCTTCAAGAGTTGAGTCAAAGCACCCCTCACCCCTTACCCCACCCCTTACCATCAATCAGTAAGTCAACAAGCATTTATTAAGCACCATCACTGCAGCTGCCCCTACAATGTAACTGCTGCTTCCTCCCTTCTAGTCCCTGAAGCTCTCCTTCTTGACGGGTGGTCTTTTGGGGAGTGTGGTAGCAGGGCTGTCACCAGCAAGGACTCAGCATTACACATTTTACTGCTATTCCCTTGGACCACATGGTGAGAGGGAGAGAAAAGAGCCTAAGGCAGGAGATGGGGAAAAGGGGCTTCCAAATAGTGGGTGTGTGTGTGTGTGTGTGTGTGTGTGTGTGTATTTATGTGTACATATGTCTATTAGGAAATCCCATTTAGGGTATTAAAGAATATAAAGGTTTCACCTGCAAATCAAATGGAAGTCTCACAGTCCATAGGCTATAGTGGAAAGATAGGTACACTAACGTACAGTTGGTGCAATTGTGGTCCATGTTTGTTGGTCCAACCATTTTGGAATGCAATATGGAAGAATGCTAAGAAAGTGACTAAGATGTCTATAACCCAGACATCCTACTCACTATTAGGCATATGGGCAGCTAGGTGGTACAGTGAGTAAAGTGCCAGGCCTGGAGTCAGGAAGACTCATCTTCCTGGCCTTAGACACTTAATTGCTGTGTGACCCTGGGCAAGTCACTTAACCCTGTGTGCCTCAGTTTCCTCATCTGTAAAATGAGCTGAAGAAGGAAATGGCAAACCACTCCAGTATCTTTGCCAAGAAAACCCCAAATGGGGTCATGAAGAGTTGGACATGACTGAAATGACTGAACAATAACAACATTGGGAATGAATACACATACATATAAACAGATTTAAATGCAAGGTATGGGGGGGGGGCAAAGTGGAAGCTCAAAGAGTAAAAGACAAACTAAGACACTTTCCTCAGAAGTGAGACTGGCCTGGGTGTGGTAGTGGTGTTGTTTGTTCTTCATTTTTGAAGAGGACCAATGACATCATGAGTCATGTCTTGTGTTGTTTATGAATTGGATTAAAGTGAGGCAGAGTCCCACAAAGTCATCAGCCTCACTCTCTTTTCCTGAGTCTTCCTGAATCATTGAAGTCCAGTGGCAAGACGAAAGTCAAGATGACTGGTGATAGCCCAGGATGCAGTGGATGACCTTAGTGTCTTTGATGCCTGACCAACCTTTAAACACTTCATAGCACCTGCTTCAGCTGCTTTCATGGCTATTGGGACAGATTGTTCTCATCTGCCCATTCCACTGGGGAACGTCTTCATATGCT